TGGATTACCACTTTCACAGACAAAATATGAAAGTAGCGTAAGGGCACCATTCACCGCTCATACTATTATTATTATTTAGCTTTATTAAGGAGGCTTTCAGCCTTAGGCTGGTTCGCCTCCATCCCGCTCATACTACCGTGTTCACCCGTTCACTGCTCATATTTAAAAAAATACTAATTATGTTTGTATTACGATTTACATAGTTGGAGGTGCTTAACGTCAAACATCGGACTTAAAGTGGTAAGTTTATGCGATAGATGAGGAGATGAAAGTATAGAGTTGATAGTTCCGTTAGAGTACGGCAGTGTGAAAATTGTATATAGAGAGTAGAAAGCGAGCAAAGGTCAATTTTGAGGAAGACACGAATCGGGTTGATCATCTCCTTTACCAAACTCCCCTGTTGGGGATGGTTAGGGATGGTGAGGGGTATCTCCCACCGCCACCACTGCACACTGGGCCAGGATTGCAATCTAGCGGAACGAAATTAATAACTCCGAAACGAAGCATTTTCGCGACTTGGTGTCTTCGGTAAAGTTTCTCATCATAATAAGGACAAACTATTGACATAAACAAAAAGTTCTAAACTCTTCCGCAAAGATGGCGCCACAATATAACTTCTTTCTCAGATGTTTTAGAGACTTGATATCTTCGGCAAAGTTGTTATCTTGACAAAATAAAAAAACTCTTTTGAAGTCGTAAATTTTCCACAGCCTACTGGTTCCGAGTTTTATGAAATAAAAAATGGCAACAATATGTTTTTTCCTTCTGTTTTGGGATTTTTTTTTTTTTTTGCTTACGACCATATATTGTTATATTTTTCCCTTATGCAAATGCATTAAATAAAGAACTTTTGTGAAGAAACATACTGGTTTAAGCTTCAAATTTTAAAGAATTTAATCTTGGGAGAATATCTGAGAAACGGCAATGGAATACCCCCTCAATATAGATATTTTTAAAAATCTGAGTGAAGTGAAGGGACCGGAAACTCATGTCTGACACAATTTTAAATCCAAGATGGCGGCTTCCGGTTACAGAAAAAATTGGGAACTACTGCCAAATAGCCCACAATATGGGTATGTTTGAAATCGGGATTCCGTAAAAGGACTGGAAACCCATGCCTGACACTATTTTGAAATTCAAAATGGCAACTTCCTGTTAGAGAAAAACTTGGAAATAATGTCAAATACTCCAAAATATGACTCCGTCTCCAAAAATACCCATATTGTGGGGTATTTGACAGTATTTCCCACTTTTTCTGTAACCGGATGCCACCATCTTGAAATTCAAAATAGCATCAGACGTCGACTACCAGTCCCTACACGTCACTCCGATTCCGAAAATACCCATATTGTGAGGTATTTGACAGAATTTCCCAGTTTTTCTGTAACCGTAAGCCACCATATTAGATTTCAAAATAGCAAATACGGATTGCCGGTTCCTACACGGTCACCTCGATTCCTAAAATACCCTACCCTACAGGCCTTTTTGCCTGTAGATTTGAAGACATACTTTGGCAAAAAAGTGTGCGTTTGACTTGTACTGTCGCATTAATGACCCTTCGCTCATTTTCAACTTCTATTCAATTTTCATACTGCCGTACTCTAACGGAACTATCTACCTACTCTCTTCTAAGACCATTCTCTAGCTAATAAATTATCACACTAAAGCTTCATGTTAGATAGCATTTGATTTGGTTCAAGACACAAAAATTGGTAGAACATTTTCCTGCTGAATAAGTTTAAGGTTGTGAATACATAGAAACTGCTCCCAAAAAAATATGTGTTGATCAAACTGATAAAAATGTCACTTTAAATTTATCATCAATCTAGACGAAGGATTATATTATTATTATTATTATTTTGCTTTATTATAGAGACTGTCAGCCTTTAGCTGGTTCGTCTCTCAAGATTTTATTAACATACCCGAAACAAAAACATTCTAGTTTTTAGAGATAAATATAATAATATTAAGATTAAAAATCTGATGGCATTACCAAAGAAAAACTAAGGTTAAAATTCATAAATTGAAGCATATTTTTTCCAAATCTTATAATAAAAACATGAAGTTTTTTTTTTTGCTTCAACATTTTTTTACAGAATGAAGACCTAACTGTAAGTAGCAACTTTGTAGAAGATTTTTTTTTAAGTTCAATTTCAATCTCAAAATGCAGCTTTCCTGTTAAATAACCATTCTGGACAATTGTGCGGTGTTAATATTGCCCAAAATACATGAGATCAACAACATTTACTACACATTGGACGATGAACGCTACTCCCAAGCTAAATCTATTGGTTCTCTGTTACAACTGATCTGTATAACGGGCGGTGAGTCATGCTAATGCTCAATAATTTTGCAGATATAACGGGTGATAACAAAAAAATGAGCATTTTCATTTGGACTCATAAAAAAATTTATGTTTGAGAAAAGAAAAATTGATTTATATCAACTGAAGCTACGACACGTTTCTACAAAAAAAAAATCCATGAACATTTGAATAAGGTCCGTTATCAGCAGTTTGACGTAGCTTTGTCATGATGTGAGAACATGAGCGTTGTACAGCATTTAAATCGATTTAACGAATGCAACTTTTGATTCGGTTTATGAGCTGATTACAAATCTTGGCACTCCAATTGTTTTTGTACACCAACGAACTCATATTTTGGATTGCGGTTTTTTAGTTGGGGAAAAGTCTTAGAACACTCAAATTTGGCCAATAGATGCTCTGAAACTCAATGTATCTACATGCCAAAATTGAGCTCTCAAGGACGTTGTTTACCACCTGACGATAATAAAATAAGGTATTGCCGAAGCCGTCATTTACCCTACATACGGGATATTTTGATTTTACAATAAGGTTAGTGTTTTCTTATCATAATGCCAAAACACGTAGTTTCCGTCTGCGTGGTATTTTTGAAGAAATGGAATCAATATTTTTGTCAAATTCCTCTCTCCGATATGGCGATATACAGCATCACTTTCCGTTCAAACTTGTGTTTGAACTTGAATCTTACATCAGAATAATATCGATCATTTCCAGGAATGTGAGATTTTGAGAGAGGATAGTAACTTTCATCATCCAAAACAAGACATTTTCCTGAGTAATTTCTTGTCATCCAACGGCATTGAGTTTTCACGTTCAAAATTGTTGATCGGTGTATTGTGGAGCTCTTGATATCTTTCGACAATCTATTTCTATCCTTTCCAACGTTTTACAGATGTGAGGTTGCGTGCACTTGAACTTTTTCGCGGCGTCCCGCTGACTTATTGAATCTTTGTTGTTGAACGTATTGTGTGGCGATCGAAGCCCTTTTGTGTTCATTATTTTGGCTGGTTTTCCACTACCCCTCTTCCGAACTGTTGTCAAGGATGCCAAAATACGATAAACAGTAGAAATTGGTACATTCTCTGATTTGAAATGATCCACCGTAAACATTTTCCCACGATTTTCGTGTGTTTTGAAGAACTGTACAATGCGCTCACGAAGTGCTTCTTATTTTGATGCCTTTTTGAACACAAATGAGTATGTTAAAACAAAATAAAAAATTCTATAGTTTTGCGGAAAGAGAGAGAGAGAGACCATTGATTTCCATAAGCTGTCTTTTTTTTGTGGACATTTGTGGTTTGGTATGAGAGAGTTGAAGTTAATCTCATTTTTTAGTTATCACCCGTTATGCAAAAGATTTCCGAAGATATTCCGAAGAATATTCTTGGTGAGCCTAGAAGCTAATTTCAATTACGGTTAGGGGCTGTCCATATATTCTTCATCTTCTTCTTGGTTTTTTACGCTTCTTCAACTAAGTGCTCCCAAGTTATTAATTGAGAACTTTCTATGTCAACCAATGCATAAAATTGTGTATTGTGTGGCAAGTACTATTCCCCGGAATGTCGAAAGAAAAAAGGGGGAAAATGGTATGCAAGTGTCTGTCTTTCATGCCCAAGTTGCAATGCATTAGGTATATGAAAAACGTGACGAAAGGGGAGAGTGGGGCTAATTTTTCCTCAATTTACCGTGACATAATTAAAGTACGTCCCCTAAACAGGTGGTTCTTTTAAAAAATGCTAATTATGATTCAATTCAATTCCATTCAAATGTTTTGCCAATTATGACAAACATACACCATTTATTCACTTTGCGTGTGAATATCCGGAATCAATCATTTCAATAAGTTTGGTTTAAAAAAGCGTTTCTATCGTTTTTGCCTAACTGCCTTGATACATTACGAAACAAAGTACACCTATAACCATCGTAAGAACTAAACTTTGTTAAAATAAGGTTCAATATCACCTATGTACAATCATATTGAAACACCTAGGAAAACCACAGTGAACGTCCTACATTCTACTGGGTCCTATCATAAATGATGTACAGGCATCAAGTTGTTTTGGAGTGTCATCTTCTACTACTTCATACGTAGGTAAGCACCAGAGGTAATGTAGGCACAATTCATGCAAACCATCATTTGGCATATGAACATCATTTCCCCCGAAATTCCACCGCTATAGTTGTACAACAGTCACCAACTACTTTCGCGCGCGCGCGAACCTCGCAGGTGGAATGACTTTGCATACACAAAAAAAAAAGCAAGTCCCAATTCCAACAGCGTACAGCAGCTATAAGAAGGTGTATAGAATGTAAGCCAAAAAGAAGAACCGATAATAATGGATCTCCTCCCATCTCAATTTTATTTTTATTGGACACCGATGGGGCTGCTTTTATAGGCAATACCTACCTGCCAAACGGTAGTATCGGCATACAACAGCAGGGCCTAAAAAACCACTTATTCTTCGCGAACCAATGTGAAGTCCATGAGTCTCCAGACAGAAAGACAGATGAGTGTGCAGAACTGTGACCCGATAGCGCGGCGCTTGGTTCTAATCGATCGTAAAGCCATCAATGGACGCGGATCGGATCGGCGGTGGAATGTGGAGAAGACTCCGCTCCGATATGCACAAAGAATACAACACGAGTATTATAAAAGATGTTCACCGTTCCAGAAACTAGTTAGTCCGTCGCGTTTTGATGCCGAGTCCGGTTGTATCGAAGTTCGTTGATTCGTGTCGCGCATTTGTCGTTCTCCAGTGTGGATGGTGTCAGGATGGTCACTACCAGTAAAATCCTACTGGTGGTCACCACGTGCTACTGGACGCTGACAGCTGGTCAATATTATAGCATAAATCTCGGTGGCGAAGAAGCTGCAGTAGCTCAACCCGTTCCACCACCTCCGTCCGGAGGACCAGTGCAGGAAATACGGCCAAAGATTACACCGCTGGACGCGATGGTTGACAAGACCAATCATCTGGGATTTCGGATTCTGTATCTTCACTCCAAGGGAAACAAGAACAACATTGCTTTTTCGCCATGTGCTCTGTCCAGTATTCTAGTCGCATTGTACGAGGGTGCCGACGGGAAAAGTGCTTCGGAAATTCACGATAGTCTGGTGGTGCCGTACGATAAGGATATTCTACGGGTGGGCTATCGTGACATTCATCGCCGATTGAGGAGTTACTTCTATCGGAAGGAGAACCTACTCAGTGGACTGAGTTTGAGTAGTGAAAACATTACCATACGGTGAGTCAAAAAAAAATGCCCTATGGGTTTCTGATCACCATGATATACGAATACAATGAACCATGCCTATATTTCCATGATTGGATAAGTGACTGTTGCGGGGAATCAGGCCACGTCTTTTTAGACAGTACAATTCTTCATTTAGACTGATAACTTATTGTGTTGTTTGATAATACTTCGCTAATTGAGAGAATCAATATAGTTAACAATATACACGAGCAAAGTCCAGCATCAAAATGACAAGAAATCGAAATCAAATATCAACATCAAACTGAAATCATAATTTGATTTCAGTTTATGCGATTGACAAATTTGATAACAAATGTTGTTTTCATTTAGCTGCACATTTGCTCTTCAAAAATATGTTGTTGCAATTTTGTTTCAATGCCTTAGCAGAACATCAAATTGAATACTCGTTTTGTTATCAACAGGAAAAATGTACATCAAAGTGATTTTTTTCAGTTTGCCATCACTGATAGCAGAATTAATTTTCAAGGTGATGTCACAGGAAGATTTGTTTGCTCTCAATTTTGATATTTTAACCGTTAAAACGACCAAAATTTAGTTTTCAATTTGGTCTCAGACTTTACTCGGGTAGTAATCGACATTACTGATTATAAATCATGGCCCACTTAGTAATGGAACAACATCATTTGGGTCATTTCGAATTAGAATAAACGGATTTGAAAACGGTTTTCACTAAAGTGCATTCTGTCCTTATATTTTAAGAAAAAAGTACGAAACGAATTACTCATCGCGGTTTCGAAGGAATTCTCGAACTTTTCCTGTGAGGCTTCCGGTGCGTCGTCAAGGTTTCCCTGTACGTTTTGAGCACTCGCCATACGATGTTTCTAGGAAAATTCAACACTTTTGCCAGCTTGGACGCGGATCACGGACAAAAATACACTGTTATTTTCGTTGTTGTTGTGAACATTAATAAACGTCTAAAGCTTCCGAAAATGTCCACTAGGAGCACTGTAATAAGCAACAGAGTTTGTTCCATTACTAAGTGGGTCATGGTTTAGAAATACAAAGTAAGTCGAATACGCCGTTAACATTGAATCAAAAATGATGAATATGCAATGGTCGATGCACTGGAAAATTAACTACCGGCATTTTAAACTAGTAGTAAATGTTATGTGTTTTAATGGTTGTAATACAAGCGCTCAGTGATTAACATTAAATTTAAATTTAACTCGTGGTTAAAAGTGATAGATGCACAGGCAAGAAATTCGATTTTGATAACCGTGACTGAGTTTCTGCTGAATCACCGGTTGATCGCTCAGACAGGGATTTTCGAAATGTCATTTTTAACTCCAGGTCATATGTAACTCGGCAAATGGAATACAGCCTAAGAGAGTATGTATTTTCATTGGTGCTATTTTTGAAAAGATCTACCTCAAAAACTGTTGATTTTATCTACGGACGAGTTGTGAAAAATTAATTCAAAAACCTGGAAACAAATATACACTGAAATTTTTTAGAAATATTTCTTAGGGAAAATGAAAGTCAATTAGATACTTTAAAAAAAATAGTTCTGAGATGGTGCAAACTGTGATATATTCGAAATTCGCTGGTTGACCCACCAGCTCGACCCAACCTGGACCCAACTAACGAATCCTGTTCATTAGATGGTTAAAGTGATTGAGAGCCAACATTTCTGGATTGCATCGTTTGTCGTGGTTGTACAAAATCACGAAAAGCAGATTCAACGGACGCGGATTGCGGGAAATTAATTTATGCTGAGGGGAGAACGTTAAACTTTTGATATTTAGGGGACGACGGGTTAGGTTAGGTTACTTTATTAACGAGACTTTCAGCCAGGCTGGCTCATCTCTGGGGATCTCCGAGGGGGTCTCCGGGAAGGACTATGGGGCGCCAGAAGGGAGTCCTCCTACTACAGAGTTATTCAAAACGGGGTGTTGTATGCTGTCTAATTTGCTGTAAGAGAGGTTCAATGGTTGTTTGAGGGTGGGTTCTGTTTGTGCCGTAGGTCTATTGGGGTCAGTAGTTATGGTGCATATGGGCCTTGGTTGTATCATTGGTCAGTTTAGGGTCGGTAATCCGGGTGATAGTGCGGATGGTCGGTCCATGATGAAAAGGAGGGTGCCACCGGCTTCAGTGAGGTATCCGCAGCCGGCAGCGAGCACCGAAGTGGTAGTTATCAAACTAGGTGGAAGAGCTCTGCTTCTTTAGGAAAACCTAGTAGAGCAGCGGTCCGGCATGCGTTATTGCTGCGTGCGTCTTTTACACTGCTTGGAATCCCGTATAGCTCTCTTGCTTCCTGGTATTGGGGGCAGTGAGATAGGAAATGCTCAACAGAGTGATTAATGCGGCATAGGGAGCAGGTCTTGTAGAAATCACCGTTTCCAATGAGGTTGTGGGAAAGGCGAGTGTGACCAGATCTTAGGCGGGAGAGGACAATTTGGGAGCGATAGTCGGCTGGATTCTCCTATTTTCCCGTGCCTCCTTTGATTTTCCTGATGAAAAGGTCGTGGGAGTTAATTCAGTCCCTATTCCAGGCTTCCCAAGTGATGCTAAAAATCCTTGAGGTCTGGGCCAGGGACTTTACGCGTGTATAGGCACATGCACATATGTCTACCGGAGAAAGCGAGATAATCAGCTTCCACAATGCCCTGGATTCCACAGGTGGGGCACTCGAGAGGATGGCCTGAAGGGGTCTACGGGGTAAGACGGCCACCCTAAACTTGAAGTAAAATTCAACCAAAACTGTATAAAATTGCCGCGATACATTTAGTGATTATTGATCTATTGAAAAAATCACGCCACCAGTGGTAAGACGGCCACATGGAATATATCATGATCCTGGCCGTATAAAAGGTTACTGTCTTCAGCAAAATTGCACGGTGGATAGAGAACAGTAGTACAGAATTATCTCACCATGCGGCGTGCAAGTCAATTTTCTGCTTAAAATATATCTTGAGATCTTTACTATTTAGAATGTTTCCGTCTTCGGGAAAGTTGTTCAGTTGATCAATATCTTCTTGTGAGTTAGTTAGTTCAGAATTCTCTTATTACGTGACGCTAGTCTACGTATGGACTTCACGTAGATGCCCTGACTTCGAATATGGTGAGGATTTCAAGATATAGCTTATATATATAGAAAGTTCACATGTAAACTAGCGCCGCGTAGTGAGGGAATCCCTAATTTACTTGTGCACCATCACCATTTGGAATGCCTTGATCATCTTACCTAGTCCTAAGCCTAGTTTTATGGATTGACTACTCTTACGGATGTTCCGGATTTTTTTGTGGATCCTCCAGGGCCTCCATATCACGAATTCATACTGATGACAAATCTACACATGTTTTCGAAGAAAGCCAGATATATTTCAGAAACGAAATATTGTTATTTGCGCATTCAGTTTCAACCAACCAAAGGTGGATTGTCGGAGCAAATCTGACATGGGATTGTAACATCCAATTGCAGGGCGGGTCGCTTTTTTTTCAAGCCAGTCAGTGTCTCTTTTTAAGGCCTAGTCACTAAAGTCCTCTTTTCTTGTAATCAGTCACTGTTTTCAACTATGTTAGCGAGAATGTATTTCAATATTGATCATTCGTCTTTCACTGCGTAGGATCTGAGGTAGTCCAATTGATGCCGATTACATGGCTTATTACAAGTTTTTAATTTACTTTATGAAAGATTAGAGATCTTCAGTGAAGTCCCATTAACTTCACAGTTACTCCACAACACTTGTAAGAACTTTACAGAAGATCATAGCGATGAAAGGAAATGCTGGAAAATAGTGGAAACTTCAGGCCAATCAGGCCTTGTTGTCCTCTGCTGTCCGAAGAAGTCGTCTCCACTCTACTCGATCCATGGCCACACTTCGCTTGCCTCGTAGTCTGCGAAGCGTCCGCAAATCACCTTCTACTTGGTCGATCAAACTTGCCCTTGCGCACTTCTTCTTCTTATTCCTGTTGAGTCGCTTTCGAGAACCATTTTCACTGGTTCGTCGTGCGGCATTCTTACGACGTGCCTAGTCCACCGTAGTCGCCCATTTTTTCAATGTGGAAGATGGATGGTTCTCCCAGCAGCTGGAGCAATTCGTGGTTCATTCGCCTCCTGCACGGTCCGTCATGCATCTGTACTCGACCGTAGATGGTACGCAACACCTTCCATTCGAAAACACCACTCCTCCACTGGTCCTCCACGAGCATAGTACAGGTCTCGTGGCCGTAGAGAACCACCGGCCTAATCAGCGTCTTGTGGATAGTCAACTTCGTGCGGCGGCGAATTTTATTCGACCGGAGCGTTCTCGACACGATTCCCTGCCATAATGCGTCTTTGAATTTCCCTGCTGGCATCATTTTCGGCGGTCACCAGTGAGCCCAAATACACGAGCTCATCGACCACCTCGATTTCGTCACCATCAATCTGAATCCGGGGTGGGAGGCTAACATTGTCTTCCGTCATATATTTCGTCTTCGATGCGTTGATACAAATCTAATCCGTCTAGCTTCAGCCTTCAGTCTGATGTACGTGTTTCCGGCATCGTCTCAAAGTTCCGTGCCATGATATCGATGTCATCGGCGAAGCCAAGAAGCTGGATGGACTTCCTGAAGATCATGCCACTCGTGTCTAACCCAGCTATTCTTATCACACCTTCTAACACGATGTTAAATAGCAGACACGAAAGTCCATCAGCTTGCTAAGATTCAAAGGGACTCGAGAGTGTCCCCGATACTCGAACAACGCACATCACTCGATCCATCGTTGCCTTGACCAATCGCGTCAGTTTATGTGGAAATCTATACTCGTGCATAATCTGCCATAGCTGATCTCGATCGATTGTGTCGTATGCGGATATGAAATCTATGAACAAATGATGTGTGGGCACGTTCTATTCACGGCATTTCTGCAGAACCTGCCGAATCGCGAAAATTTGGTCCGTGGTAGCGCGGGCACCCATGAATCCCGCTTGGTATGGCCCCATGAACTCTCTAGCAAATGGTCGCAGGCGGCGGCACAGAATTTG